GGTTCCAGGGAGTCATTGCGAGAGTGTTTTAAGGAATCAAATATCCTCACCGTTGCATTTATGAAAATATATATATATATATATATGATTGCATTAATAAAAGCTTACTTAACAATATATATAAATGTCGTTTGGCTAAAGTTAGTAATTCGTTTTATGGCAATTGCGTAAGGTTTTACAATAAAATACCAGAGTATGTTATAAATCTGCCAGAAAAAAGATTTAAATGTCAAATAAAACACTTCCTTTGCAAAAAAGCTTACTATAAAATTGAAGAATTCGTTAACGATAATAATGTTTTTATAGAAAAACTTTAAATCCATAGCACTGACAATATTATCTGATTACATTAATAATGAGTGCGTAGCGATTTGTTGATTATCGCATGCCTCTTACTTGTTATACTGTAATTATTTATATAAAAAAAAACATCTATTAAAAAGAGCAACACACAAGTTTCTTGCTCATTCTTCTTGTGATGAATCTGCATTCCGAATGAGTGGTAGAATCAAAATATGACTATTCAAAAGTGCTTGTAATGAGTTTATTTGAATAAAGATTATTTCTATTTCTATTTCTATTTCTTAAAGCATGGTATACTAAGAACTGTTATGATGATGAATGAATTGAAAAAAGAACATTTCTTTTTGTATTTAATAAGAAATACTCTTTTATATTGTGTTTCAAGATAAATGATAACCGATATTTTTTCACAACCTTCGTTTACATGAACATCAAACGAGAGGTCTTAATACATCGACCCTTAACAAAAAAGATAAGTAAAAAATACAAACGTAGTCGCTTTCCATTTTTCTAATTTATGTTTAGAGTACCTGCCGTATGGTCCAAAACATACTTTAAATATATACTTACTAAACACCTATCTATTTCACCAATCTACTACCTGCCTTTGATGTGGGTGCATATTGGAAGATCTTGACAAACAATTTGAAACTATATTCTCAACGTTTATTCATGAGGCACCTATATAAATTAAATATGTGTTACTTAATAGGACATATATAACTTTAGTCCTTTATCTTAGGGATTACGTATCTCATTAAAACTCATCTCTATCAAGCGATCACTTAATAAACTACATAGGTCAACACGATGTGAATAGAACGCGCGCAGATTTTCTTTTTTCTAGGATGCGCGCTATGAGGTACGAAGTGTTGCACTGAGGATTAATGAATAAAATTAAATTTTATTAAATTTTAAATCTACCAGTACTTGTGTTGGAAACTGTTTTCTAAACCTTTTTTATTGTCTATAATTTTTATAAACACTATATTGTTTTTACATGACATAAGTCAATTATTACACAATATTTTACGACTATACCGGTGCCGTTTTCTTTTGCTCGTCATTTTGGTCTCCATCCTCACAACTTATATCAAGTAATACCTGTTATTTTTTTATATTTAAAAATTTTTTTTTATTATGTTATGATGTGATATTTATATTTATGTTTGATAAAATACATGTAATATAAAAGAAATAATTACGAGCACCTATAAGCATGGTAGTTGCCACACTAATGAAGTATCGTGAACTCAATAATAATAAAACGTAGTAAGATTTTTCTTTTTTAATGTTATATTTGTAGTTATCATATGTGTCTGATGTAGGTACCTACTCTTGAAAGAGGTTCCTTGTAGTATTGTAATAGGTAATATAATTTATATTATATTACCTATTACAATAGTACCTACCTACAAGAAACATGATCTTAAAGAGAATTCAATAGATCGGTTACTGGTTGACTACACTATCGGGCATTGAGTCCTCCATAAACATATTTCAATTATTATTCTGATAGTCATTTAAGTAACTTACAATCGTTATTTAAAGGTGAAATATTTGTTATATATTGTGTGAAATGAGTCCAAAGCATCGCATAAAAATACTCATTGGTACAGTCCCTATAATGAGAATATGGAATAGTTACTCAAATTTTCCACCGCCAAATTGCCATTTGTTTGAGAATTGCCTATTTTGTCAGTATAACTACGCTGGAAATTTTGTAAAATCACTTAAACTATATAATTTTATGCAGAAGCACTCTGCGATGCAAATTGGGCCGTTAAAACCCAAAGTCATTTTCACGGATCAAGTAGTTACTATATTTCGTTGCCTTAAAGTCACAAATCTTGCCTACACATAAATCAATTATAATAAAGATTTCTTGTCTTTTTTTTCCCTTTAATATACATATGTATGAGCTATAAGCACCAAATTCTTAGGAAACCGTTTAAAAAATTTTTAATTAATTTTATATTAAACACAACAAGCCTGTTGCTGCTAATGATTTATTTGATTATAATATTTCCATTTTAATAGTTAAGTTAATATTTGTTCCAAATCCTATACTTATGACGATAACAGGATGTTTTTTGTTCCTATATATATACACTAATTGTCATCAATGTATAAGGATAGTTAAAGTTATTTCATTTAGTTAATAGGCCATTGCTTGTTCACGGTTACGCGCCTTACGGGCGTTCCGCACCGTATATCTCCTTAGATTGTCTTATCTCCCTACCAGCAGCTAATTTCCCAACACATTATTTATTTCAGGAAGATAGTGCGGGAAAGATGGCGCTACTGATTCCCGTAAGCGTAATATAGTGGCGCCCCCTAAATATAGTAGCACCCATAACTTTCTTTTTTTTGCCAATCAACATTTTATTTCGTTATAAAGCAATATTTTTAAAAATAATGACAAAGTTATGTCCTTGATTCCACGAATACTACTTATAAACGGGATCTTGTCATGATTAAAGCTGGATTTATAACAAAATTATTTTTTAATACCACAGAGTTCTCAGGTAGATATATATCTCCCAAGGTTTCCTGGAAAATATCGCTTCCAGTGATAAGGTCGTGTTGTTTACGCTCAACGTCATCTATCACTTGTAACTTTATTTCAGTATAATATAATGCGTTAAAAACAATACAAGCAGTTATATATATTAATCTATATATAAAAAGTAACTTGATTAATGTAGATTATTTTTAGGATGAAAATATCTGCGCTAACGCAGGCGGATACACTATTGACCAGTTGCATTGACGGGACATTGATTGAACAGTGTCCCGTCAATGCAGGTCGATTGATCCATCATTGTGAATTCACCTGGAAACTACCACGATGTTTTGAGGGAAGGAGGGAATATGGAGGTCGACTTTACATTGTATATTGCTAGCAATGACACTAGTCTCCGTTTTTTTTACTATGGCTCGTCAGAAAATGCATCACCATTAACAGCAATTCCTCCCACTTCATACCAAATTTTGACTTCACCATGACGTATATGGTTGACAAAGCCTCTACATAACTATCCCATCTGGCAAATTTTCGATACACAGTTAGTGCCAGTAATATAAAATTATTGGAAATGATAATGAGAATGCATAAGAACTCGACTATATGCGTCATACTTTATGCCCGTTTTTATTGCCATTATCACATAAAATTTTCTCACGTACAATTTTATTTTAAATTCCTTGCTCCATTAAAATATGTTATTACTACCCGTTGTCATTTCGTAGACAAATTAAATATTTCATACAAAACGTAGCCGTCAAAAATTATACCAATAATTGTATTAGGTAACTCTGAAAATTATTTTTCACCCCACTCATAATCTCTTAATGGAATTATGGTGACAAGCCGCCGTCGGAACTGTGACTCCAATTTCTATAAATACCTGTATATTAATGTGATCACACATCTTCCAGATTCTGTTTTATTATAATATTATTCTATGCTTATTTGTACTGTTCCTATTCTATTAATTTAGTTTTAATTTACCCCAACTACTGCATTTTACATTAAAACTAAACTGACATTATTTTTGTTTAAAATGTATTTAACAACTGGAATATTGAATAATATGTTTTTACCTCAAAACTAACTGTGCTAAATAGGTGGTACATCTGGAGCAGAAGAAAACATTTTGACATGGTAATACGGTATTCTTAAAGAAAATAGAATCCGGAAACTGTTTGACTACCATTAAACGGTTAAAACAGGATAAAGTCAGTGAATAAGATATCTTAGGTACTCCGTACTTACAACTTGTAACTACAAAGGTAGCATAAGGAATTATAAGTGCTAAAACACAATATATTTAATAATAATAATACGCTAATACACATAGTGAAAATAAATAAACACAAAAGAAAGTGTAAATATTTAAAAAATACTCCGAAAATCTCCATGAACGATACTGTTCATTCATGCTAGTTATACAGCGAACTTGAGATAAAACATCCGAAAAAATCTTAATTGAAAGAAAAAAATGGACTAACAACGGAAGGGGGACAATCATATATATATTAGAAAGCATTGATTAATATGATGATTAAATCAAAAGTGTGTCTGTCTGTCTGAATGTTAATGAAATTAGACACAAAATATTAAAATAATAGACAGGCTTTCTTTGATCTTAAAAATAAAGCAGACAAAGTCGCGTGTCAACAGTTAGCGGTTTAAAAGTGATCTCACAGTTTCAACATTAGGACAGAGTAGAACCACGTACAAGAAAACAACGGTCTAGGTAGTATAAGATGAGACAACGCAGGTTTTAATAATTATAATTTATTATCCCTGAGGTAAAATCCGGGAGTCACATTACGAAGTCTCTTAATTAATTAACTAAACTATTTATACTTTAAACAAATGATTAAAAAAATAAGAAAACAGCAAATAAATATGTAAAACATTTTTTTTAACCTTTACAAAAAAAAAATATCCCTAAACTTTATTTACTTGCTAAATTTTTCGAAATTCATTACAACTTCCTGCTCTATACATCCACGTAATTTTCAACCATATCACACGCAACTGTTGCGTCTATTCCATAAGAATCACCTAAAAAGCTATAAAATAAAACATCTAATATAATATAAAAATAGAAAACAACCCAAAAACATCAGCCGCTTAAGTCATGGCTGATTTAATTTTAGTCATGTTAATTTATTATATTACTTACCGGTGGATGATTTCCCGCGCTTGTTTGGAAGTTTCTGGAAGCTGCGACGCGGCCAATCGCTGTAACAGCGTGTCGCGTTCTGCTAAATTCTCCTCTTTTTAATTCCGCCACGCCAACAGTTATGGCGACGCTGGCGATTGCGCATGCTTCATCCCTATGACGTCAATGGTTTCGTTCACAAAGCATACAGGTGTTGGTATTTTATATACCGCAGTGGCTGCGGCCGCATGCACATAATGGCTAAGTAAAGTTGCAACTCGCTGCTTTCTCGTTTTACTGTTCCGGAGCTTTTATGGAATTGTTGATAATACGGGGAAAGTTATAAAAGTTGATTTTAAAACTTTCTTCTTTTTTATATATAGGTAATATATAGTTTGTTGTCTATTGATATAATATTACAGAAAAGATTTCTTTGCAGGAATTAGGAATATTACGTTGTTTTAATTGTTTGGATAATTATGCACAGAAGTGCTGAATACTAAATTAACTATAATGACAAACAAACTAACAGCACACCAGATGGAAAGTTGTAACCGTTGTTTATGTGGGCAGAACCATGGATATCAGTTCGTTAGGTGACGCCCGTGGCTTATCTACATCATGCGTCGCCATTAGGGAAGGCTAAGAAGTCATGTCTTCGTAACCAGTAATTATATACCTATATGTTAATCTTAAGACGAAACACTATGTAACAAGTGTTAGAATTATATAGATTAGTATGGCAACACTACACAGTATATTGTAAAATGTCTTGCTTGTACAATGTCTTGTGTCTTCTGCTACAATAAAAGTATTAAAATATAATAACACTATTTATCATTATAACACACTACAAACAAAGCTAATTTTTTGGCTATAATAAGAGAGACAAAGTTACCGACCCACGCAGGCGACTTTGTAATAAAGTATTTATGAGCGTATTGGTAACGGGAGAAACCTAGACTGACTGGCCTTTAAGCGCATTCATGTTAGGTAAGGACCTAATTGCTGTGGGAAGAATAACAACAAACTCAAAAATCATACGTGGGTTTGATATGTGTATTTTTGGATTTTCAAACTTCATAATTGCGAATAATGAAAGTGGAAATGAAATAGCAAATAATATACATACAAACCCTTGGTTCTCCCTGTTTAACATATGAATATAATTTAATAACTCCCAATATTTGACGCTGTTGCAAACATGCTGGACGACTGGGGATGCCGGTGTATGTGAATAATTATGACGAGTCGACAAATCGGTCTCCCCATTTTCTAAGACATTTTCTACAAAAACCGTCATCACTATTAATGGAAAACATTGAAGTCCTAAGTTAAGTGCCATTATTGTATCACTTCGACTTTTTGCAGCATATTTAGCTTTACACTTAGTTTTAAGTATAGATACTTAACACTGCATTCCATATGCTCAACAACTTAAAACCGTCATCCCTATTAAAATTTGAAATTAAATTGATTTATTTACTATTCCAGGAACATAACAGGGTTGCGTATATTATTATAATGTCTTTGTCCCATGAAATTGCATCCAGTGGTTTGAACCCGAGTCTATAAGTGTTATGCTATGGCTGATTTGTGTTTGTTATCATTTATTGCTTTGATACGATACCATAGTTCATATAGGTACCATATAGCTAGTGTAGTATAGACAGCTCATGATTTCGCTTAGTTCGATATAAGTAGAAACTACCGAAAATCGGTCGCACTTAAAGAATATCGTTTACCTATATGTGTACGTTACCTTTCGTTTTCTTCACTTGTACACGTAAGCCGTAAAATAAAAATAACAATAAATTTATATGATTACTAAAATATTACAAATAATAGTTATAATACTTATGTTATAATTCTTCTAATTACTAACAATTTGTCACAGTATCATATCGTAGAGATCGATTTTATTGACTCTTTTTTATTTAAAGGTTTTCATAGAGTTAATAAGAAAATTCTTAGGAGACCTTTGCCTACATTGTCCAAATTATTTTCTCACTTTCTCTGAGTGCTATAAAAATATATATAATTGTTTGCTACGAGTAAGTACGTTAATAAGAAATCATGGTAACACTCATTTACTTAAGAATGTGTTCTCATACCTAATGCTGATTAAGTAAAAGTATACCCCGAAAATAATAATTTTGTGTCTAGATAAACTGAAGAGAAAATTCCTACGCTAAGTTAAGCCACACTCACATGAATTACTGTCAGCAACAATGGAAGTACAGGAATTCTTCAATTTTGTACTGTATCATACTACAGCACAGATTTCAGTTTCTTATGGCTTTTGTTACTTGCTGTACTTCCACAGACAGGAGACGATAAAATGTTAGAATATGTGTGTATTAGTTGCTTACCTACTTTGGCTAGGTGCGATAATGGCACAATGGTGTTTACTCGAATTACGATTTTCAGCTTTCTGAGCTACTGAATATAGTGTTGGAACACAGTCATTATTTTCGAAGAGACATATCTATAAATAAGGCTTATGATATAAGAAACTGACTTCTTAAAATTAGTGCTAGCTCAGATAATTGATATATATATAACGTACTTTTTATATTTCTTGTGTTTTTCATGGAATTATGTGTTACTTTGCCGAACTCTATGTCATTATTCAATAGATTTATATTATTTCGTTTAATTCCGATTAGCTTGTAGGAGACCACAAATATTTAGTACGGAAGCCTACTACAACTACATTCACTACATTAGTAATTTTATTTTATTTTATTTTATTTTATTTGGGATACAAACAGTTTCACAATGTAGTATGTATATAAGTACATAGATATGAATTAATAATAGTAAAACCAATACAGATATCCACGGGTTAAAAATAAACATCCAAACATAAAAATTAACATCCTATCGTTATTGCTACACATGTTTCGCCTCCAATCGAGACGTGTCATCAGAATAATGTTAACTGCTCTGCGATCGGTACTGGCAGCGCTGCCGACAGTGTTGGTCAGGTTTTCGCACTGAATAAGTATTTGTAGACTCCCATATGCTAATGGTAGCAGAATTAAACAATCTAAATATATATAACTGAAAGGTGACTGTCATAGTGATCTATCAACGCACAGCCCAAACTTCTCGACGGATCGGGCTGAAATTTGGCATGCAGGTAGATGTTATGACGTAGGCATCCGCTAAGAAAGGATTTTGATTAATTCTACCCCCAAGGGGATAAAATAGGGGATGAAACTTTGTCTGTATGTGTCTTTGGATGAAGTTTGTATGAAACTTTGTCTATTTTAAACCGATCGGGCTGAGACTTTGCATGCATAAAGCTACTATGACGTATGCATCCCCTAAGAAAGCATTTGGATAAATTTCACCCCTAAGGGGATAAATTAACGCGAGCGAAGCCGCTAGCAAAAGCTAGAAATATTATAAAAGAATAAAATTTATTTTTATGTTATTTTATTAATTGATTTTTACTTGTATTAATGTATTCCGTAACTACCCACACGACCATCACGACATACATACTTACTCCCACCATTTCGCTATCGACGGTATAAGGACTGTCAGTCATAGGGATTAGGGGCACTATTACGATGGGGAGTGGACTATTAGTACGAGGATAAGTACCTAACCACATTACTAGCAATGTGGCATGTCAGGTTGACCTTCAGGCGGTCCATCGGTTATCGCTGAATTCCTAATAAATTCGCCACGTTGGTCTAAGTGACGTGGTTTCATACCTCATTCTAGTTAAATCTTTATTTTAGATACCAGTCGCTCCTCGACTGGATGATACAAATGAACTTTCCACGACGAGTTTATGTAACGCTATATGAAATCGTTTCTGTTGATGCAATAGAAAATCATTTCAATTTAAAAAATGCGATAATGTAAGATCGAATGACGGCAACATAAATAATTTCTATCGATAAAACACTAGTATAAAGCTGCAAAGAATTTTGTTAATCCGACCAATTTAAAAAGTGAGTACGAAGCCATAGATGGAGAATATTAATATGGTCCTAGATAGCTTTTACATTTAGAAGGGTAGGTACTTTTAATTTGTTGGGTTGATAGACTTGTTGGTTCTTGTGGAACAATTATTCCCTTTATTCCTTCAAACAATTACAAAATGCGTCATTTACTTCTTGTTTACTTGCTAAATAGTAAGTAGGATAGTTAAGAGGCCTTTCACATTTTTTGGCCTAAAAGCAGTGTCTTTGGGGTTCTGGTTCTAAGAAATTAAGAGTCGGATATACATTTTGATTCCTGAATTATATAGATAGATATCTAATCTTAAAAACAACATCTTTTAAATGTTAATTTTCTCTTTGTTAGTCTTCCTAATTTCTAAAATAGTTTATTCAAAAACGCTAAATGACAGAAGTTTGGGGTCGTCGTTCATTAATAAACAAACATAAATTGATATGATATCTTTACTAAAACTTGATAATTACTTTATAAATTGAGACAGCATCGTCCTTTTTTTCATTTTCAACTTAAATATCTAAAAAATTGATCATAATTAAACCCGAAATTTCAACAAAACTTTGCCATAATCATTTCTAATTTTCTCATAAATACAACGAAATTGTTGCATAAAAAAAACATAATAATAAAGTTAATATATTTGTAAATTAGAAATATGAAAAAAAAAATATAAGTTTCTAAGAAAAAAATAAACAATAATAATAATTTAAAGTTGTATAAATTCCGTTGCGCCAAAAGTAAATTCTCAGTGGCGCGCTAGCGCTCGTCGAGGTAGGACCTATGCCATTTTTTACAACACCGCTAAGATAAGACATTCGTCAGTGAACATTAGTATAGAGCGACTAAACCATTTTGATAATTTAAGTAATATTTAATTAATTTTGCTAATATATACTTATTTCTACGAATATTAATTTAAAGTTGTTGTTAAATATATATATAATATTTATTTTAGCATGCCAAGACAAAAGTACAGTTATGCTACAAATAAAACCTACCTACCCTGCTGGACTATGAAAAGCACAAGAGCATGGTATTTCGTCACACTAATGGCAATTAATTGTTAAAATTAAAAAAGATAACATTTTAGTATTTTTAAAAATAACGCTTATCTGAGAGAAAAATGTAAGAAAATGTAAACCAATTTTACTCTATGTTTATTTTGTAGTTTTTTTCTAAATTAAAATAGGGTTATTGTTTATAAAAATACCATTATTATTTTTACGTACATTTGTCTTGTGTTATATAGTGTATATCATCTAGTATGCAATGTGGATTGTAAATAAATTACCAAATTATATATAAATTATATTCCTTAATGTTTAGAGATATTTTATCCAATTTTATTTTATTTTACACAATACAGATATTTCTAAATTGCAGCTATTCTGTTATTATACTCGTTGGACTTTCATTACTGTACAGTTATGTCAAATAATTATGCGTGTTTGGGTGAAAAGTCAACAACATTATAAATGTTTTTATTTAGAGACTAGCTTTTAGCTCGCGGCTTCGCCCGCGTGAATATGGGATATATAGGTTATCGCGCGTTTAAAGATCCGTGTACAGTATTGGGACGTTATATATAAACCTTCCTCTTGAGTCTATCTATTCTGTCTATTAAATAACAACGAATCAAAATCTGCGTAGTTTTTTAAGATCAAAACATACATAGATCTATTACATGTGTAGATGATATTTTAACCGGAAATTGAAGCCGTTAAAATGGTATTGGCAGATCAGTTGGAATCATCGGTATTCTTGGTATATAAGCTGGTTGCCCAGCTAACGTACCGGTTATAATGGTCTACAATTAAATTGTCTTTCAATTCTTTAGTAAGCAATATATCCAATGGGACGCCATTGCACATGTTCGGCGGGCTTAAATTTCATGACTGGATCATGCTTTTGAGAAATTCCTTCCTCAAATTTGAGCATTTAGTGTGGGAAATCACTATCTGTGCTTCCATAAAAATGAGCTCTCAAATTTGTCAGTAGTTTTAAACTTTCAATTAAAGTCCATAAGGGAGACGATGTTAATGACACAGAGAGTCTTTCAGAAATCTCCAGCAAAAGTATAAAAGTAATCCCGCCAATGAGAACAGAGGTGTTTCTAAGGTCTTTTAAGGTTCTGTCCAAAATCTCTATAGCTCATGGTGATTTCATTACATATAATCAATGAGGCGTCTTATAATAATTTATAAAAAGGTTTGACATTAACAATTAATTATTTATCAAGAATCAAGAATCGGCCAACCAAGAACGAGAAGCTGCAATATCAGCCAATATCATGCGGCGACGTCAATGATGCAGGAACAGCAATGATAGCAGTTGAAGCTTTTTTTTACAACTTAGAATGGCAAACAAGCTGACGGCTCTCCTGATGGAAAGGGGTAACCGTCGCCTATATACATGAGCAGTACCTGCCATGTTCATATCAGCACATTGTTTCCCTCATGCGTTGCCATTCCTGAAAACTCGGGTGTTATTCCCCTGTACCTTGTAAATTCACTACCATATATATACACAGGTAGTCTATATAGATAGATATACATATACACAGATAGTATACCCTGAGAAAGGTATATAAGATAGACTACTTTATAGTGCGAAAAAAGTATTGTAAGGGATTAAAAGCGGAGATGAAAGGTTGTATAAAAGTATCGTCATTGTTTAATTGAAACAAAGAAACTTTTTTAAGTTATAATCTAAATATATTTCCTTTATTTGGTCAATTTCATTATACCACGCTGACGAAGTCGCGGACACACCTAATATACATATAAGGATGGGACCTTTAAATCAAAACAAAGCCTTGAAAACACAACTATTATATATAAATAAAATAATTATTTGCTAAGTATAATATTTAGAACAAGTGAATATGGCAATAATGTATCCGACTCTTATAATAAATTATATTGTATCTATTAATAAATAAACTGAATTAATATGTAAGAAGAATTAATTAATAAATTTATGTTATAGTAATTTCATCTTCCTGTCCTTATCCCAATTATTTGTTACTCATATTACTTAAGGTTTTGGCTTTTAGTTGTACAATCGGCCAGCATCCTGACATCAACCCTCTAGGAATAATATAATAAAAAAATATGGTCATTATTAGCACTTTGATAATTAAGATAAATCACGTTATTTAAAAAAATCCAATAAGTAGTCTCAGTTAAGTAGAAACATATCACATTATTAATTAAAATATTACAAGGATCAAAATGGTTCATACTAAATCCACACCGATTGAGCTACACGGTTATTTGCGTCTGTGTGCGTGTATTACTGTGTGTGTGCGTAAATCCATGCGATTATACCTAAAGTTGAGCGGCATCATTTTGTAATAGTCCTCTTAATTTTAAACTTTTGTGTTTAATATACATTATTTAATTTTTTTTTATCTTATTTTTTTTTTATTGTCTGTATTAATGTAATTTTAATGTAATTTATTTTATATATTATTTTTAATATTTTCGAATATCATTACAATAGAAAACTTCATTACTGACTGCTTGATGGCGTTGAAGTAGCATTATGTTGATATTTTATTGTTTTTGTTTTATATTAAAAAAATTATCTATTATTTATTTAAATTATTAACCGGGTCTTAACACGAATAATTTTATGGCAAATAAAGGTATTTACCTCTCTCAACGTTTCGACTAGATTGCACTAGCCGTGGTCACGAGCTGACTGGAGTAACAGCGATGTCAATGTAGATAGGTGACAGGAGTTTTTTCTTCATCTACCGTCACTAGATTGTTTAAATACCTTTATTTGCCATAAAATTATTCATGTTAAGACCCGGTTAATAATTTAAGTAAGTAAGATATTTCTAAATATACAGGTATATTTTATAGAAATCATTTACTTTATTTGTAATATACGCAGGACTTGTGTAGATATACCGCATGCAAATTTTGGGCTGCCACTTGGAGTTATTAATAGAGTTTGCAAAAACTCATCGCGATAACGTGATGGGTTATCTTGTGAAAGGGTTCCATGGCCAACAGGAGCCCAATAAGGCCTGGGAAGAGGTAACAGGCAAATTAAATTGTATTGGTGGAGGAGTTATTAAAACTCCTGAGAAATTGAAACGTTTAAGTACCTATATTTCAGTTTTACAGCATGGCTATATATAACAGTAAAACACTCCTTGTGTTTTACTGTTATACATCTAAATCCTTTTTGTTTGACTCATTACCCTAAAACTGCTTTGTTTTAAGATAACAAGTACTGGCTTGTCGCACTAAGGCAAAAGCTAGATTTGCTACGAAATCCAATGGCGACCGGTGAATAATCTAACATGCTAAATCCGCTCTCCAATTTGGAAAAGAGGATTGTCGCATGTATTGGGAAGGTGGCCATAGAAGGTATTTCAAACGTAGGAACCTATTGATGTCAGTATTTTATTTTTATCCCAATTTTTGGATTTTCCATGTCAATAAAAGTCCGACATAGTGTAATTAGAAGGTAACTAATAGACGCAATATCTCTATATGTATAAACAGTGGTAATAACTACTGATCAAGTTAGAAGAGTCCTTATTTAAGGCAGTGATAATATAAAATAACTTTATAATGATCTTGGATTCATGACTAGTTTGATAGTGTAAAGTCCTCTAAATCTGCAGGCAGTCAGTCAACTGTCAGTCAATCTGTTACTTTTATACATTTTTTTATTTACATCTATTTACATACAATTAATTTCTTTATTCATTACGTTATTTGTTTATTCATGAATCTTTAAATATACATTTTTTTAAAGTATGTACATTAGTTTACGAATATTCCGTTGTAGACTACTATCGTACAGTCTTAATAATATCATGGCGGTGAGACAATCAAGTGATATGGCGCAATTCAAAGCGGTTTTAAAATCTGCAAAACAAGTCGTTATCTTATCTGGAGCCGGTATAAGTGCTGAATCCGGTATACCCACATTTAGAGGGGCTGGTGGTTATTGGAGGAAGTATCAGGCCGCATCCTTAGCTACCCCTGGAGCCTTTAAAACTAGTCCTAGTTTAGTTTGGGAGTTTTATCATTATAGGAGAGAAGCGGCCGCTAAAGCGGTACCAAATGCGGTAAACTTATTATATTTAATTATATCATAATCATATTTCAATAAGTACCAAGTCACCTGAAGCTCAGGTGACTTGGTCAATGTGTTAATCATCAATATAGATACTTAACTAGTAAATCTAGGACTTATTAAAAGACACAAATTTTGATCCAGTTGTGTTATTAATATTTACTATAAAATAATAACTAATATTAAAATCAGTAAATATCTGACTGTATTTATGTTCAAATTAGTTGGGCAAGGTATACTTAAAGTCTTGTGTTTTTACTGTAGTATATTTCTCTCATAATTGTTTTTACAGAAACTTGTCATAACTAGGTATGATAAGTTTCTGAGGAGCGAGTTTGCTTAGAAAATATGTACTGTATTTACTGCTAACACTTATGATTTAAATGTATCTTATTATACCTTTGATTTCAGGGCCACATTGCTATAGCTGATTTTGAAAACAAGCATGGTTCTGAGAAAAATGTTACAGTTATCACACAAAATGTAGATGGACTGCATGCGAGGGCTGGCACCAAAAACTTAATAGAACTTCATGGTAATCTCTATAAAACCCGCTGCACTAAATGTAAAGAAGTTTTGGTTAATACAGATAGTCCCATTTGTGAGGTAATTAGAATAATTATGCCCAAAAGTTGAAATATGGGTTCAAGACCTCTACATTTGCCTCATATTACACACAATACATAACTGATAATTTTGGTACATTTTTCAAAGTTTCATAATTAACCAAAAATATATTTGGTTTTCACTATATTATACTACGATCCCATATACGATACCATCCTACAATCAATGTGTTAAATTCAATTTAATATTATATCAATTCAGATTTATTACACAAATGTGTTAATAATTAGTATCTTCAATACTAGTGTTATTAATTTCAAATTTATTCATCATACTTTTTGTATTTATCTATTTCATCATTTCAATTACATATTTTATAATTATATATAAATTCATTATTATGTACTGAATACTAATACCAATTTATTTTAATTCAAGGCATTGGCTAATAGAGGTGCTCCAGATGCAAATGTAGTTGGCTCTGATATACCAGTAAAGGATCTTCCACACTGCAAAAAATCTGGCTGCAATGGCTTACTGAGGCCACATATTGTGTGGTTTGGAGAAAGTTTAGAGCCTGCTATTCTTAGTAATGCAGGTATAAACACTTAATAAATAACCCTATAAAATTTAATAATAAACATGTTTAGTAATGAAACTAGCTAATACCGAGAAGGCATTACAATAGCTGTGTAATAACCATAATTATAAAGTAAATTAAGTTCAGAAGTAAGACATATATAACATCAAATAAAATATTGAAATGGTTTTTGTATGTTTTAATATTAATTGTATAAAATCTGTGTATTCCATATAAAAATTAAAGTTTTGTAAGCTTTATAACAAACAAATTTCTGTTATCTTGTAATCTTTCAAGACAAACAGTTTAATGTATTAAATATTTCTATTTACAGAAGCAGTTATGTCGACATGTGATGTATGTTTAGTAGTAGGTACATCATCTGTGGTCTACCCCGCAGCTATGTTCGCTCCCCAGGCGGCCGCAAGAGGCGCAATAGTCGCAGAGTTCAACTTAGAACCCACACCAGCCACACCTGATTTCCATTATTACTTTCAGGGTACTTGCGGCACAACATTACCTGAAGCTTTAGCAGACTAACAACAAAAGTAGGACGATATAATAGAAAATATTATAAATATTATTTATTTATGTGATTATATACATTGTATATATGTACAGATATTACAGAAAGTTGTGTATACCACATTGGGATATAGCAATATGATGTAAAAGAATAAAGTCAAATACAAAATCTAAGATACAGAAAATGTAGCAAGATTGCACCAATTTTAAGTTATTTTATGATTATAGATAGGAAGTACCTCTAGGAGGCACACATATGAGTATGTATATATGTAAATTAAATACTAAAATCGTGATATTAGATTTATTTTTTAAGAATAAATGTTATTTATTACATTTATTGCCACTTTCATTAATATTCTTCTGTTTTTGCCTTGTAAAGAATCTAGCAACACTACCAATTGTATTCCCAAAAGCACTGTCAGTGATTAATGATCTCTGAAATAAAATTAACAATTTTAAATTAAATACGTTTTAAGAAGTCATTTATACATAAATTATGTATAAATCACACACGTCACACGGGGTTGGAAGAGTGACAAAGTTCGAGTAAAATATCAAGAAATCTAGGATAAAAATAGAGGGATAGAGTTCCAACATTAAAATTTTAAAACACGAAATGGACTATTAAAATATGACCTGTTGAGACATCAATTACTAAAATTGGTGTGACGTAATTTATGAATGACCTTAAGAAACTATAAGCTACGAAGAGCCTAAAATTTTTTATCCCGAAAAAAATTTTTGACTATGTATTGTTTGTTACATATAGAAAAATAATTGTGTGGACGTGCCACACAATTATTATAATATTTACCTGTACAAATGACGGAAGCGCCGAAATCGTTGTAGGTCTTGAATATCTTTCGTCTAATAATAAAATGCACGCAAAATCATTAATGTGCCTGACTGCTCGACCTAGAAGATATTAAAATTTCTATTAGATTGCTACAGACTTTATAATAATTGTGTATTCTGTAATAATCGTCATTTTTTTTATGTCTATATGCCACAATACCACTTTCCATCAGGTGAGCCGTCACCTGTCAGTAGTATACAATTTTATTTTTTACTATGGCGTAATTACGCCAAACACATAGACTATTTCTAATGCCTAAACAAATAGATAAAATAACATTTTTAACTTAGAATATGTTATCAAAACAAAAAAGTTTTATGTAATTTTAATTATATTTAAATAATTATTACCTATACATTGATTGACCGCCTTCATGCACAAATTCTCATAGTATGTGTGGCCGGCATTAGGGCCAATCATTCGGTCCAAATATTTCATCTTCTCTTTCAATTCTGGTGATTTTATATTTGGATACGGCATTCCTACTACTATGACACAGCGGCCTAAATCATCGCTATAAAAATAATGTAATATAAAATAAAGATTACAAGCTAAAATGAAAAGAATATAGTATAAAAAATCTGAAACCTTGAATTCTGCGCATAAACTGAGCCGTTATTATTATATACTTAGTATGAAACAATGGTAAATAAATAAATTTTCCATGAAAATTAAGTCATTCATTATCCATATGAATAATGTATGATATTAAAAAGCCAAATGATGTTTGCTGGTATATATATATTATCTTTAGTATAAATTACAATCTACTGAAGATATATATATTTTTTAGTATACATTAATTTAAACACTGCGAGTGTTTAAATTAATGTAGGTACTAAAAAATGGGGCGTATTGAAATCATTCATATAATTAATTATTTTATCACTTTGGGCCGTACATTTATTAACTTAACATATAGATTAAAGATAGCCTAAATGTTGAATCATATTTAATAACACATGTGACAATGTCATTCTAATTCCTTCAGCCGGTTGTACTTGATAGCTTAAGAAACAGACGGTTTTTTTATATATATGATGTAATGTTGAAAGTTTGTTTATAACCTCTTCTTAATGTTTTGATTTAATAATTTAATACACAACAAAGTTACGTAATATTTGAATATAATTGCGGTGTGAAAATCTAATACCGGAGGCGAAAGAACAGGTCACTTGTATTATAAAGAATCTCACCTAAAATTCAAACCTTCACTTAGTTTACCACCAACAACACTCAACAACAATGCGCCAGTGAAGTCTCCTTGTTTGTTCTGCACTGCTTTTGCATATTTGCTTAATACCTAAAAATATTTCTGTAATTAGAACCTTATTGCACGGAATTACCAGAGGTAGTCTGTAAAAAATCGTCTGCATGGGTACCTCAATCTCAGCTATTTCAGCCGCCAAGCAGCTTGCATTGTCATTTGTGTTTCGGTTATGTTATGCAGATTAGGCAGTCAAATTACAGGATAAGATCCATGACATTTTAGTCCTCTGGAATACCAATGCATAAATGGCACAACGGATGTCACACGATAACGTGATGTCTGTAGTGCTGTCTGTTAATACTAGGGTAATTTATTTTTAGGTCTGAAAATGCATATTTCTACCCGTATACTGTAGAGCAAACAGATTTATAATAATGTAGGCAGTGCATCATAGGTTGGAATTGGGTACCTATAGCGAGCGTCTAGAACGATAAGGCAGAAAGTATTGAAAGAACCTGTATACATTGTACAATTGGGCAAAGGCAGAATATCTCCAAAATTCACGAAACGTAAATGACATTTTATTTACATTTCTGATAATCCGCTGACCATTGTTTCTGTTAACATTAATTGCAAATTTAATTCACACACCTGATCAACATCGGTGGCTGACTTAGGTTCTCGAAATACGGTTTTCTTTCTGCTAATACTTTCTAGTACACCGGTGGTCTTCAAGTTATCATATACAGTTTCCTCATATGTGTACGATGGTAGGAAACATACCACGCCTCCTGGTACTAAATTACAGATATTTCTTAGTATATGTCCCACTTCTGCTAACTGAAACCAAAAGTAATAAAATATTTATTATTTTTAGATAACAAACCAAATTAATTCAAGAGACATATTGTGTTTAATAACACCCAGTGAAATGTGCTTTCACCACATTGTCAACATTTGATAATGCCGACTTTGTTCTAAAAATACCTCAGCTGAGATAACCATCGTAATAGTATTTTGCTATTATACATAGACACAAATAATTTATACAATAATAATACACAAAAACTTCCTTACAAGATTTTTCGACATCCGGTTTTCATAGCCAAAATTGAGATTAAGTTGAGATGGTCCTTTTGTGACACAGATACCCAAAACATTGTCTTTAGGCACAACATGTTCACACTTCACTACATTCACCTTCTCACTTTGGTTGGAGCTGCCGGTAAGTAGTTGTAGGAATTCACTCACTGGCTCCATAGTACCTCCTGCCAACACAACCTGCGTAAATAATATTCTACGTTAGCGAAATATGTATATATATATATATATATATATATATTGTTCTCTGTTTATCCGTAATCAGTAACATCACAATCAGATTGGATTGTAGATGGCAATACGATTCGCCAGTTCATTAAGTTTCTACAGCTCTTTATTAATTGCGTTGCTATTCAGAAGACTAGGATAAACCAAGCTGCTAGGCGGCTAATATACATAGATTCCGGCTATGATTATATGACTTTTTCAAATTTTACCTCTGGTTGGTACGTTTTAATTTTAATTATATATTTTAGGCAACTTAATATTATTTATACAACAATATTGGCCCATAATGTCAGGTTGACCTTCCACGCGATTTCTCCTGGAACTGAAACTCATGAAACTGAAATGATCATGTTAAATTCCTGATGAATTTGCCAGGATGGGCTAACTGACGTGAGCTCATACTTATTTTATCACCCTCAACTGGTACCCCGCCAATGTTTATCGTTGGCGCAGGCGAGTGCCATTACATTAGAAAAGATGTGAGCCTCGAAGAAGATTCGTCATATAGAGTAAACTTTTTAAAATTACAATAATACTAACAGATCTACATTGCTTGGTGACTTCTGCAAAATGTTCAATTGGATTTAACAGGAGATACTTCAATTGACCACTCTGCAGGTGGCCTGTTTGAGCAAGAACTCTGCCATTCTCACTACGGTCGCATAATAGCTCTAAGAATTCCATTATTCTATATAATCCAGTACCCGCCGATGTCTCCAATGATGTATTTCGCTAAACAAATGAAAGAAATGTATGAACGAAATGTTTCATTTCTAATTTTAACTCTTCAATATTTGACTGTTTTTATATTTTATATATTGCACATGCATATGGACTACATATCATTTTGTCTATATATAATACAATACACAATACTTTCTTCATCTAAATATTTGAGGGAGCATGTTAAGAGTAAGAGACAATACCTGTGAATTTTGGACATCTGATTTTGTGTCTTTCCCTTCCTTTATATCATCTCTATTTGCTACACTTTCTTCAAGCTTTTGTTTACTATTTCTTTTTATATCTTTATCCTTTTTAATATTTTGTAAGAAAGACTTAAAAGAACTCTTTTTATTGCTATTGGCTTTTTCAATTTCTTCTTCAAGGGCTTCCTGGCTGTATCTCATTGAAAAGCTATGTAATTTTGGAGCTAATCTACTTTTCCTACAAAATTCGACTATAGGTCTAAAGTTCATATGGTCAATTTCAGCTTTAACAACAAAATCTTCAAGCATATAAATTGACTTTTCTTGTCTCTCTTTGTTTAAATTGGTGGACCTTATTAAACCTACAAATAAATATCATCTCTAAAACTCACCAATATTAGGGACAGATTATTTTTAAACTTTCATGTTTAATACACATTATTAATTTAGATGATATTATATATATCATCAGATCTTAACACAAATTTTTTTTTTGGTAAATAAGTCTTTATTTACTATAAAACTATTATATTAAGTCCCAATTTCATGTTTTTTTTTTTTTTTTTTTATATTTAAATACATTTTTCCACAGACATATTCGTCCGTGCCTTTTTTAATTTACTTTAATATTATTATATTTATTTAATTTCCATTTTTGTACAACTCCAGCCGAGATGTTACAATTTGCCTAACAGTGACACCGAGGCAGACCTTATCCGGTCTAGAACCACCGCTGGCATGAGTTGACAACATGCAGTGTCACTCATCTTTATTTGGAAGATTAGATTTATCAATATGCATATACAATTATATAAATCTTACACTACTACTAATTTCACAGTTTTTGCATTGTGCAATGTAAGAATTCATAATGTAACAATACACATTATGAATTCTTACACTATATACAATTATATGAAATCTTATTTTAACACTATTTTCAAAGTTCACTATTTGTTATTGTCTAGGTTTTGTTTAATTATTGATTATTTAATTTCATAGTTCACTTTTTGTCGTAATTCGGCAATTTTTTTTTTTTTTTTTTTCTTCTTCCCTTTCCCCTTTTTTCTTTCTTTTTTTTTTTTTCTCCTTCTTCCTCCTTTTCCTTTCCTTTCCCTTTTTTTTTTTTTTTTTTATTATTATACTTTTAGCGAGCATGTTCCGGCCTTTCCAGTCCAAAGCGCCCCGACGATGCATCAGCTGTTCTGGTTTTCTTTGTGCTGATTATTTTAGCGCAATCAAATCAACGATCGCCCTATCTATATTTTTAATCGTCCCAATTTCATGTTAAGATTAAGTATAATAATAATCAGGCACATAGTCAAGAAGGAAATTATGTTTAAGAACTGTCACAATTACACTAATATTATAAAAGTAATGTGCGAATTTTGTGTATGTAGACATACTAGTTTGCGCTAATTGTATGCTCTGCTGGAGATTCTCCAGCAGAATGACTGTATAAAATATAATAATAGCATGAATGATATTCGTCAGAAGTCTTACCTAACAACTTTCCAACAATAAAACTCATCTGATTCAACAGCAACAAGTTTCTGGAGCTCAATCTTGAACTGTACTTATTGACATAGTATTGCAAGCAAGTCTTTACAGATGACAAATCTCTTTCTGAGAGTGGTGCTGAGTTTGCATTCTCTAATGCCGTTGGAAGTCCATGTGCTTCATCTAGTATTAAAATATTGTTATTTAAATTTAAGGACATTCCTGTTCTAGCACCAGCACTTGCCACGCCAGCATGGCTCATTAGAACTACCTTTAAAGAAAAAAATAATACTTATATTTAATTGAAATTAAGTACTTTGTAATACACAATTGACACCGTTTGTTTATTGTTCACGAAAATCTATAAAATCATAATGAAAACATATGAAGTAAACTACCAATAAATATAAATATTTATGATGTAACTTACTTCATACTAGTATTACTAAAATTAAATGTGGAAGTTTGTGAGTGCGGAAGGAGAGATGAGATGGATAAATAGAAGTTCACACTAAAACTAAGGAAATGATTATAATGAAACTTTACAATAATATTATATATCAGAATAGACATATGCTATGAATTTGACAAGATGAAACTGCAGGCACAGCTAACACTAAATAAAATCAAAGAACATTTTTTGTTTATTTATTATTCATAGAAAATCTTTGAATATTATTAAGAAATATTTACCTCTGCATCATCCATTGCAGCTCTCGAAGCATAATAAGGGCAAGCTTTCAGCTCTTTACCACACTTCACTAAATCTTCCATATCCATAATATCTACTAGTATTTTCTCTTTCAACTTAGAAATATTATTTTGATTGTAATATGGGCATGCTGAACATGACTTTGTTTTACTTTTCTTTGTTGCTCTGCCATCTGAATCTACGGCTGTAGACTTTGTTCTCGATTTTTGTAAATCTAGGCATCTGGAAAATATTGAAATTTATAGAGAGTAAGAAACTTAAAATGTTAAATTGATATTGGTACTTGATGTAAATTCATGATTTCACAAAAGTGAAAATACAAATGTTCTTTATAATAATATAATAATTAATTACTTTTTTTACATATACCAAGTGTACACACAAAATCCTTAATTAAGTAATGAAAAGAACTTTTGCAAGACACATAATTGAATAAAATATAAACAAAATAATATAAATTAACAAAATTCTTTATTTATTTAAGATTAGTTATCTGTGTTGAAGCTAAGCTAGGAAAAGTCTAGCTCTTTCCTCATATAGGGATTCGTTTTTGCGATATTATCAGGAATATGGGAAATGGTCTTGCAACGTTAACCATAGTAACAATTTTGTTGAACAATTAGAAGTGAAACACTGCCAACTCTTTTTTTTTTTCAATTTAATCCATGCATATATGGTTGAAACATGTGGTACTTATCTAATATTGAATTACTTCATTTTGTAAATAAACCATTACCTTTCATTAATGAGATTGATATTTTTTAGTTTTGCCACTTCTGCATTAATACAGTAATGCTGTCGAGAAGCTAGAGTAACTACCCTTGTGTCATCCTTGAACACAGTCCTTTTGATTTCTCCAACAAACTGTGATAATTGACTGTGTGTTCTACTACCTATGAAGATCTGTAACATTGAAATCATGTATAGTATTGTTAAAAAGCCGGAAGTCATATGCATTAAGAACATTGAAGTTGTTATTACTCTTACTTCTAATTTCTAATTTGCTTACATTAAATATTTGAATATTATCTACTAATTAACCTTTCTTTATACATGTATCAATATAGTAACAGTATTAATTTTACAGAAAATATAGGATGATTAATTGTATAATTAAACCATAATAAACGAATTATAATTACTAATTTTAGTTTTAATTAATATTTATTAAAATTTATTTATATTTCTTCACCATGTGTTCCCATGGGGCTGGCAGATAGTGTGGGAATTCTTATACTTCTCTTGTTCTATATATAATTCAATTGTCTCATGCAGGCTTTAAAGACTTAATGATAATTAATGTTAACTTGAAAGTACTTTCAAAATATCTTCTTTATTTTCTATGTTGTCATCCCCTGAATCATGTTCTTCATCATATTCCTGAACCTCACATTCTTCTAAAATTAGATCATCATCTTCCTCAGTCTTTTTCACTTCTTGATTGTTTTCTTTAACAAAATCATTCTTATTTTTATCTGTTCTATTATTATAAAACTCCACATTTTTATTTACATTGAAATTAAGTTTTGTCACACGAATTTTCATTTCATTAAATTTTTCTATTCTTTCTTTTATTTTATGAACTTTTGCTTGCAATGCAATTAGTTCATGATTTTTCTTAATTTTTTCATATTCTTCCTCAAGCCAATCAAAAGAACCTATAAGAAACCAGTAGGTATAAAAGATATACTTTAATTTACAATTATTTATATAATTAGAAACGAATAGCCAAAAATTATATAAAACCAATTTTCTAATTAAAGACAATATTACTTACTTGCACTTCTATTTAGTTCTAATTTCAGGATTTCTACATTTTTCTCCAGCTCTTCTAGATTTCGATGTTCGTTGTCTTTAAGCCACTGGATGGCTCCACAACAAATACTTAATGATTTACCCTGTACAAACACAATGGATTACTTCTTCTTATTTTAGTTATAAGACTAAATAAACTGAGAGTATATAACACAGAACTGTACATAATTATGTAAGAACTTACGGTTCCTGTAGGGCTTTCAAAAATACCAAGTTTATTGTTTTCTATAGTGAAATATAATTGCTTCATAAAATTTTCTTGAATAGGATAAGGTTTAAAAGGAAAGGAAAACGTAGGATCCATGTTCTCATTCATGCACAATATTAAATTTCCAGTCTAATATTGGAGTTTTTATAATAATATATAATTTATTGGTTATAAGAAGCATACAATAACAAAACTTTTAAAATATTACAAACAAACACAGATCACTTACAGAAATGAGATACAGTCATACAACCTTTTAGTTTATGTTAGCTGTCAGAAAGTCATGAAGGTAGAGTGAATACTTGCTTTTAGAAATGTTGACTGACATCATGACTATACTGACACTGATATGTCATTATTCATTATTTATTAAATCATATAATTTTCTTATATTGGGAATCGTAACATTAATTTGTTTTCTTTTACTTTTAAATTGATAAACATTCCTTAATTAATTACTGAAATAAAATTTGTAAAGAGACTATATGAAAAATATAATTAACTGATTTATAATACATTTAGTATGGCTCACAATAAGTATGTCTTTAATTTCCAATTTTACAGTCATATGTATATTTTCATTATTTTTGTTATCCTATATGATGTAATTTCAGTGTCAAGATCTTACCAGGAGCAACAGTTTGTGAGGACTGTACACTCGAAGGTGATATCACAATAGGTGGAGGTACAGTGATTCATCCAAGAGTAACAATTATTGCAGAAGGTGGTCCTATAATTATAGCTGAATATTGTATTATTGAGGAATACTCTACCATTATACATAAGTAAGTTTTACAGGATTACATTTATTTAATAAATATTGAAGACTTTCACAATTAACTAACCCAGAAACAGAAAATTATCTTACTTTTATTTAGTTTAGTGATGTATGTTACTTTAATTGTTACTCTATCACACTATATTCAAATGGAATTTGGTTTTAGTCTATAATGTCATTTTAAACTTTTCACAAGTATTAAACACTGATTTTCAAGAGCAGTAATCTATGTGGTATTTGAATAAATAAAATTTAAAATATATTCCTAATAAAAACAAAAACAAGTTCACTTATTTATGAAATCTGGTTAACATTGTAATAGACTGAATCTTTATATATTTATATATATAATATTGATCCTAAGTAGTGTTTTGTTGTTTAAATTCAAAGACAACTAAAACATTAATATGATTCATAAAAAATATATTAAATAGTGATATTTCATGACATATTATTTTCTGTAATTTTCAGAAAAAGTGATAAGCAAGAGAATCCACCAAAGCCACTTTTCATAGGTGCACACAATGTGTTTGAAGTTGGATGTAAGCTGGAGTCTCCATGCGGTCATATTGGAGAAAGTAATGTTTTTGAGTGCCGTTCATTTGTTGGTGTTGATGTGAAAATTGGGAGTGGTTGCGTTATTGGTAATTAAGGATTTATTTTTAATTTTTGTTTGACCATTAACGTCTAATCTTTATCTTAATCTCTTTAATGTAAATTAGGTATTAGATAGATGGCATGTAAGAATAGCAGAGAAAAGTGTTTCCAGTAGCAATTTTTAAAAAAAATTTGATCTTTTAGGGAATTCTACCACCAAGTGAATTAGAATTATTTCTGATTTTGTTTTACCAATAAACCCCTAAAGCAGAATTTATAAGTGAAATGAAATCAGATAATATTATAATAATTTTATACCTTTATAAAGTTAGTATTAAATTAACAAATAATTAAACCATATTAATTGAAAAACATGCACCCTTAGTTAATGTTTCAGCTGATAAATCATACTTTAAAACTACTTTATTTTAATACATAAATATTTTACAGGTGCTGCTTGTAATTTGACTGCACCACAAACATTAGTTGACAACACAGTAATATGGGGATCAGAACATCATATAAGAGAAGCATTGGAGAAGCAACCTTCACAGCTACTTCAATTGGACTTTTTGAGTAAAGTTATGCCCAATTATCACAGATTAAGGAAACCTAATGTCCATAAACGGCAACCCTCAAGACCGTCACAGGAGTCCTCACCAAAACCATAAAAATGTAATTAAGTATAGGAAGAGAAAACCAATATGTTTGTGCAATTAAAAAATCATAGTTGCTGTATTCAATTATATTTCAAAATCATTTGTAAAATTTGTTGAATTTTGTAAATGTATTACTTAATTATAAAAATGACATCATATTACTTTATCCATTTCAATGGTAAAAGGACAGTGAAATGAGGTATAATAAATACTTTATAGGAATAGCAACATTGTTCAAATGAATAGCAAAGTACCTTTTTCCACTGTCTAACACATCAATGTTGTTCTTAGATCATACAATAAGCACTTACTGTTCTTAGCTGTTCTATAAATTGTGTGTAATGCAGCTTATTCACATATAAAATTATTTAATATAAGTCCTGCGAATAAGCTTAAAATGAATGAGTAATGTAAAAACAACTCGCATTACTTGTTATAGAAGAAATGTCTCTTGAATAAAATATATTTCTTTATATAATACAATATCTAATTTGTATTTATTTATATTTATTGGAAATATACTGCATAAATAAAGTATTTACATATTTGTTTCTTTTTTGCATGAAAAATGCGTTCTTAGTATTGTTGTGCCATTAATTAAAATAATTTTTTTAGAACATTTTATTCTGTTATACTATTTATAGGTACATACATAGGTATATAATAAATATAATACAAGAAAAAGTTTTATCCATTTTAAAATTTTAATGTGATACTTCCTGAGCAAAGAACATCCCTTATGTAGAGGTTGCCAGTATATAATTATGTAAGTACTATTGCCGTTGTATTAAATTTCCGTAATGTAAAAGTAAGAATACCTTATTATGCAATAAATTGAATTTGTTTTAAAGGAATTGTATGTTAATTCGTGAATTAATTGATGTACCCATATAATTTCATATCAAAGTTTGTATGTGATTTAGAATACTATTTTGCAAATGAAATCATTTTTTTGTTTTATTCTAAACTAGAATAAAATAGTTATGAGTCAAATAGTTACATAATTAATACTCATCACTAATTTCACATTTTGCAATTTTTGTTATTATTGTTACTCTTGTAGTAGGTATTGTTTATTTTAGTGCACTCTCAGAACGAAACTATCTTAATGGTTATTCTGTTCTGGCACCTTCTTACGTCATATTTATATCTGTATATAAATTTAAACGAACAGAAAACAAGGGTACTTTTATCAGAAAATACATCTACGAATGCATACCACTTAAATAAAACATAGATAAAAATCAAATTTGTAAGGTAAGGTAAAAAGAGCTGGTACTCAGGTCTGTAAAAATACTAAATAAAAAAAAACAGCTGACATATTGAAAAAAAAAATGGAAACTAAAATAATGGAATGTCCCTTCATGTAAAGTACATAAACCATCGATATCTTTAATTTTTGAGACTTTATTTCATTTTATTAATTACTTTGCCACATATTACCGGATTTTTAGAATGATTAGTGATAATTTTACAGTGGTTTTAACTTAAATTTCCGCATCGTTTGTGTTAAATCATAATTAAACATTTTCGATAGTCAATGTTAACTGTTACAATATTTGTTTAACATACAAGAATTGATAGAGTATCGAGGGCTGTGAATAGATAGTTAATCTGTCATATCTTTAGACAAGGGGGTGAATACATTTTGTTTCGTTTTTCACTCGTCGCCATGTTGTCAATGTTGTTATTTACTCGTTGAACCTGAACAATATTGATATGATTATATTGTGCTGTGCTGTGACCCCGTCTTTATGAGCATGTTGGAGGATGTTCCCGTCCATGGAAGCAGAAGCGAAGTTAGAGGTGCAAAAGCTCCCACACATCAAAGGAATCTCAGTTTGGATTTTAGGTATGTTACCTCATTATATATGATAATAAATATTATCTCTAACAGTATGTTTACTCTAGATGTGTTTAAAAAATATATTGGGACAATAATGTAGTGAATTGTTCAATACATATAAATCAAATCATTAATTAACTAGTATCTTATGTCTTCACAGTTTGCTTTGCTTCAGAGATGAAATTTTTAACCATCCAGTATTCATGGATTTCTTTTTATAGGTTTTAAGTATATACATTTTATCAAAGTCTGTTATACTTTGCTTATTTTTGTCATCTTTTTATAATTATCTGTATGGTTAACCACAGAGATTAAACTTTTATACTAATGCTACTAAGTAATAATAATGTTAAAGTATTGAACTGGTATGGGTAAACCTTATGATATTTAACAATTATAGAGTGATAAATTGTGGCAACTTAAAATAAAGTTTTATCAGTTTGTCAGTCAAGCCCTGTGCATCTACTCTAAATAATAAATGAAATGTTAAACCAACAGGTATGCAATAAACAATTTCTTTTGTTTAGTATTATTGTTCAGATGTGTTATATATACATTGTTTAATTACAAGAAGATATTCATTTAATGTTTTGTAACATACTTTGTTTTATGTGTATTGTTGTCATGTTGTATTATTAATGTCAGTTACAATTTCAGCACCTGAAATATTTTTGTTTTGTGTTTGTGTTTCTGAATGCTTTTAGAGTTGGAGGTCATTTCATTTTAGATTTCATTAAAATCTCTTGTTCAAAAATAATTTGAAGTTTGATCATAAATGCAAACACAGTATTTATGATCAAACTTTAAAATTATCACTTACTAGTTACTAAATTTAATTCAACACAAAAACAATTATCTTTGTTCTATGAGTGATTTAGGTGATGTCATTTTATCCATAAAGACTTGGTATGGTGTAGGTTGGACTCCATTTTCCGCAATTGGCCTCTCATTCGGGCCGTTGTGCGTACTTGGTATGGTATTAAAATTTTAATCAATTTTTTTTTCACAAATATTGTATAAATAAATTACATACAAAGAACAGTAACTTGACAAAACTGCCTCGGTGGTCTAGTAGTTTAGTGTACTTAGTGGTTCACTGCCTTATTACCAATTAAGATGGTTTGTATCGGTCTGGTCTGTTTTCTACTTATATTATGTTTGTATGTATAAAAAAGCATTCATTTCAGTTGTCTAGTACCCATATCACAAGCACTGCTTAGTTGGGATTAGATGGTGCTGTATGAATAATCCTATGATATTATTATTATTATAATAATAATCTCAATCTGTCAGTCTGACCTAATTCAGCTCCTAAGCAGCTTATTTTATAAGCTGTGTTTCTGTTGAAGAGTGAAACAGTGATATTGCAGGATATGGAGCCATAAAATCATAGTTCTATGGGAACTTAGCTCATGAGTGATATTGCTGGTATCACACGATAATGTCATGTTGGTGACATTACATTATCATGTGATACCAGCAACTACTACTCACCAACACATGGGCTGTTATGTTCTATGTCATTCTAGTTACATAAAAAATTGAGTTATACAAATCACAGTCATCATCATTAATCTATTCTGTGTGAATATTTCTATTATATCTATGCTAGGTTATATGTGTATTGATCAAATGTAATAGATACATACTTATATACTTTTTAGTAAAGAAGCTAACAGAATGTCAGCATTACAAACTTAGTGTTATTTTAAAGCTGAATCGGTTGCCTATTCACCTCTGTGGCACATAAACTCACCATACATGAGGTAATGAAAAAATTCAAGCACAAATAAAAGAAATAGTTATTTTCCTTACCTCATATGTGTTACATGTTTGTAATTGGTGATTGAAGAATTTATTTTATTTATTTATATAACTACAATGCACAAAATATCAAGTTAAAAGTACATATGGCGGACTTAGCGCCTTATGGCATTTTCTATCAGTCTACCACAGGTTGTGCATAGAAAAATTTATCTATTTAATAGTCCCATAATGATTGGTGTTAAACCTAATTGTTTTGTATTTAACTCTTAATGGTGTTTAATAACTTCCTGCTGGCTGTTAACTGTTTTTAATTGTACATTATGGGTTTGGTACTTAATTAAAAAACTTTTATTACCCATAAACCATTCTAAATAAAAGACTAATATGTAAACAATAGACACAAGCTTTATGGGCTACAAAGTTTACAACTTCCTGGATGTTTAATTGAAACTCATTAAAATCTTTAAATGTAAAAATGTGTGCCAAGCCTACCATCAAAACTTGTCTATAACAATATAAAATTGTGAGATCTCAATCCCATAATGCTCATTTAAAACAATTGTGTATCGGCAATCTAATATATAATAATAACTATCATTCCATTACTACTTCATGAGCACAAACTTTCTTCCACTATTGCATATACATGTTTTCTACATGTTCATGGTACTATAAATTTACATGAACCATTGTTAAAATGTAACAGGCGGACACACTTTTCAGTTAATAATACTAGTATGAAATGTACACAATATATGTATTGTGTTATGAACTTATGATATCTGAAAGTATTATACTAAGCAGATTTATTAAATTTTGGGTTCTTTATTATTTATTCTTTATTAATTATCTAATGGTGCAAAACCAGGCTACATAGGTTGTCATATAATAAAACTAGAACTTTTCTTGTTACTATTCCTTTTGCGCTTCATGCGCAATATTAACCTCTAATACAAAATTCACACATGCGTTTTTGGAAAAGCTCAGTGGAGACCGTATCCTAAATTAAATCTGAATGGACTATTAAATATAATATTCAGAGCAAATTCAAATCTTCTAAATATCTGTCAACCAACAGAAACACGAAACTTAATTAATTTTAGAGTTAATTTCCTAAAATGTTGTAATTTTTGATGTATGCACTTTATTTTTAAGTGTTCATTGTGTAAAGTGTTATACCTACTTACCTCATGTTATAAATAGCCCCAATTTAGTGATCAGTTTATTCTAATTTCGTTACAATATTCAGGTCGCTTGGTTAGTGTTTAGGGTTCATGTAAACACAAAGTGGGCGTTATCTAGGGCATGTTCGCTTCGTAGCCAGGTGAACGGACGGGGCGAAAGTAAAAGTGGATTGCATCTCGTCGACGGAAAGCGGCGGCTATTTCCTGACCAACTCGCTATGTACTTTACTTCCATTAGGTACTCTCTGTGCTTATATGTACAGTGTTATTATAAAAGTAGGCACTTGTGCATATCTACCAAATTTGAATTCTTGTTGAACATCTAAAATTTAATATAGCCTCTCGAATTAAAAAGTTGGTCAATATCCTGCCATTTGTGTATAGTTAACACACAATGGTCAGGTTATTTTTTTAGGATTATTTTAGTCTGCTTATCAGATTTTCCCCTAAAAAGATTTTACTATTATTATAATTTATAACCAAATCAGTGGAGTTATTTTATTTATTCGTTCAAATATACCACTTATTAACATCATCAATCAAAGCTAATGTTCGTTGCACGCAAATTTTGAATCTTGTGTTAAAGATAACCTCTGAGGTAAAAGAACTCTAGTGAAATTTAACTCGCTGTTTGTTCCTACACGGGTCGGTTAACGACTGTCTGGTTCCTTTAGTAACTAGACTAACTAGCACTTACCTAAATAAGGCCGGGGACTATGGCCTAAAGGCGTAACTGGAGACTAACACAGGTCACGTAAAAATTAATTAGTTTTCACCTTTAAACGGCATAGCCTTACTTACTACGATCGCGCGTTCCATTGTATTTATTTGTATTGTATATATGGAACTAGATCGCGCTGTGTAAATTGTCCTATGTTACTATTATTAAATACTGGCTGTGCCCGCGGTTTCACCCAAGAAATTTGTAGTCTATGTGTTATTCTGATGTATAAGCTATGTTACTGTAAAGTTTTGTCAAAATCCGTCCAGTAGTTTTTGCGTGAAAGAGTCACAAACATACACCCATCCATCTATCCATCCATATTCACAAACTTTAGCGTTTATAAGTAAGAAGTACCTAGCGCTTTTGTTCTCATTGTTTACTCTACTTGAAATTCTAATTAAGTATAAATCATAAGATACAGCGTACGATAAACATAAAATTAGAAAGCACGGAGGTATAATACCTTAATTACCCGAAATGGCGACACATTTAGGGGTACCACGAGAAGAATCACATTGATGACCGTGATACTTTTCATGTAAATGGCTGACGGTCGCCACTTACCATCAGATGGGCTTTCAGCTTATCATTTCAGTCACATACTAAAAACCGAAGGAGAACGTATAAACACTTACGTCTTGACACTTACAGAATGCTTCATAAACTCTTTACATATTTCTGCCGCCAGGCAGCAGGTTGACCTGAATCAAATTCAAATCGCAAAAATATTCTTGCGATCCATTTAATCGCAAATGTAACAGAAATTGAAATAAAAACAAAACTGTAATAACCTTTGTTATTTTTCTGAAATAAACCTTATATAATGCGAAGAAAAATCGAATCGTCCAAAGAAATTACATAAATTATTCATGAAATCTCTATATATTTTAACGGTATATTTGAGTGTTCTGTGTTACTAGAGTTCATGTTGTACATCTTAAAGTTGACTATATATACTAAGAAATTACCCTCGTTTTTAGAAAAAAATATATTCATAAGAAAACTTAACAGTATAATCGCAGTTTTGCGGGTTACTTATTTTAGTAGTTTTTGTTATCGTTATCATTACATAGATTTTTTCAATACGCTCACTGAAATTAATTAGTACCTTCCAGAATTATGCTGTTACTTATTTATGCATCTATAAAAATATTAGCAACACTTCGTAGCAGAGTCGGCAAACTTAAAACGTTTAATCTCGTACGACGAAATAAAAATCTGATAAAATATGGTATATTTTCGTAGGTCCAAATCTGGTTGAAACTTGTTTGAGGATGAAAATGTCCTCGTACAAAGGCCAAAAATGTCGTATTTTGTACACTGATTCTCGT